ATATTTATAATTTGTTATTGCATACTAATATTTAAAATCTTAATATATCTAATTGTTTACTTAATTTAGAGAAAATAAATAAAATTTCAGAGGCTATTTGTAAATTTTAAAAATAAAATATTTAAGGTTAGCTAAGGCATTTAAATATTTCTCATAACCCTGCAGTTTCGCCTTCTGGTTGGGAATTTTTTTTCGAATCAATTTTTAATGTTTTTGGGCATTGTATTTATGTTTTAGATATTAGTAATTGCTGTATGTATGGATTAAAAACTATGAAATTGATAAATGCAATTAATAAATATAAATTAAAAGATTAAAAAAAAATATTATGCTTATAAGGTTGATTATTTATATATATATATATATATTTATGTTTTTATAGAACTAAATTTTTAAAATAATCAGATGAAGGAAAGTGAAATTTGGTGTCTTTTATTTAAAGCTGTTTTAAATATTTAAGGATTTTAAAAATTAGATATTTCTAATTGTGATCTAAAAGACAAAAGCATTAGTTTAATTATTGATTACGTTTTTTCTTTATAAGAATAAATTAGCTTATAAGAATTAAATTTGGCCAATTATGAAGGTGCTGTTAGTTACTGTTATGATTAAAATAGATAATTATATAGACCTTCTTTAATTTTTAGTATTTTAAGTAAAGTTGATAGCTTTCAATTCTTAAAGATAATAAAATTATCAAACTGTATATAAACAAGATAATCTGCCAGAAACTTTCTCTAATGTTTTATAAATTTAGAAAAATAAAAAATTTAAGGAAATTGCTTAGAAGAATTGTACTTATCGGGAAATAAAGTATTTTTTTAAAAAATAATTACATTTAATTTATATTATAATACTTATTATATCAAAAATTTAAAGATAAGTGGGTATATATGGTCTAGATTGATACCTTTAATATTTTAATATTAAGGTAATATAAAGGTTTTAGCGATTGATAGATAAATATAACTTACTCAAGAAGATTATTCTGGATTAGAGTATTTGGATTATTTAGCTATGAGTTTTTCATAAATAACTAAAACTGATTTAAGGCTTGAAAAGTTAGTTTTTAGTGATCATAAATAAAATAAATAAGAAAGTTGGTATAACTTACTAAATAATATTTTAAATAAAAAGAAAGTTTATAAGACTATTAATCATATACTTATACGTTCTAATGATAATTTTGTACATGAAAGTGCCTTTTATTAAGCTTTTGCAGATTTAATGTAAAATAGTAATATGTATAGTGATAATAATATGACTAGAAATTATTCTATGTTTAGTAAAACAAAATTAGTTCGAAATTAAAGTCAAAACCAAGAATGTTAAAACAAAAAATAATTATAAAGATTATAAACAATAGGTAACAAAATTTTTGTTTAAAAATAAATAAATATAAAGTTTAATTCTGTTTTTTTTTATATATATAAAAGCATTTACAGATAAATCATAATAAACTCATATTATTCCTTCACATAAATTAGATAAAATGAAAAAAGTAATTCTAAAATAATTAATAATAATAAAAAAAAAAATATATAAGGGAGTAATAAATTGTATAGAAAATGGAGATATAATAATAGAAAAAAAAGAAGAAATATATTTAGAAACAAATTGGATAAGTAATGATCAAAATGTAAAAATAATGGTAAGACCCTGGTAATCAATAATGAAATTTTAAGGGGGAATACAAGAAAATGATTATATGAAAAAAACTGAATTTTATTCGGCCTTAAATAATATAAGGAAGCTTTTAAGTATTGGAAAAGAAGAATTAATAATAGATTTTGATTTTGATTATTAAAAATTTCCTTTATTTTAAATAATTAATCCTCTAGCATTTAATCCTTTAAAAATGAATGAAGTAAAATTAGGAGAAATTTTTGCGGATATTTCTCATTTGTATTTTGATTATCCTCTATATTGTTTTTTGGTTGAAAGTTGTTCTATTTATCCTGGTGATAATATAAATGAGTTTTTTGTTAAATTTGTTTAAACCTTTGCTAATAAAAATGATAATTAATTCGAAAAAATTCAAACAACACCTAATCTTTCCTTAACTGCTGAAGATAAAGATTTAATTTAAGATGCTCTTGCTTCTACTTTTTAAACTTAAGATACATAAATTATGAGAAAATAAACAAATAATATAAAAGAGAAAAATATCACTTTTTAACAACAATTGTATTCTTAAATTGTTAACTCGAATTCTTAATAAATGAAAAAAAACCTTAAAAATTCTTTAGTTTCTAAAAAATCTATATTTGAATCTTTGTTTACTTCCAAATTAAATACCTAAATGTTTGGAAAAATAATTGTAAATTTAATTTTGTTTTTATTAAAAACAAACAAAAAAAAAGTAAAGAAAAAAGAAAAATCTTAATGTATTATGTCCTTATCATTTTGATTCAGAAAAAATTTATAATTTAACAGATGAATAAAAAATACTTGTAAGATTAGAAAATATGCCTGCATCAACTTTAAAAATAAAAAACTTGACAATAAGTGCTATAAAATAAATTTATGCTTTTAGTTAACTTAATCCTTATTTTATTACTTGTGAAATGGATTATTAATTTCTTACTTTTATTAATGTAGGAGTTGTTCATTCTTTAAGAGAATCTATTTACGAAAATCATAAATCATCAACTAGGTATCCTTTTAAAAGTTGTTTAAATAAAATATATTTTAAAATTATTAATGCTTTTGTGGGATTGGATTGGTATTTATTAAAGACTTTAATAAAAAAATAATATTTTTATTTATATTTTAAAGTTTTTTTAATTTCGATGAAAGTGCAATAGAATTAGATGAGTATTTAGGGGATAATATATAGTATTATTTTTTAATGATATTCTTTTTATTTATTTATTATGTTATTTGTATTACTTGCCCTTATCCATGGACACTTTATGATGATTTATTAGATAAAAAAGGAAGAGGTGTGTCTTGGAAGGCACATATAATATACGGAGTTTTTGCACTATTAACAATGCTTTATGAAGTTTTTCTGGTTTCTAAAACATTAAATAAAATAAAACATTTAATACCAGGAATGAGACTTGCTAGTTAGCCTGACTGTCCAACATAAATATCAGATTATTTAAAAAAAAACTAATGAATATATAAACTATAGAATATAAAAATTTTCTATATATAATTCATTTATTACTTAGTTAAATTGCAAGATTTGATTTTTATAGTGATATTTGTTTTTTAGTTGTTTGTATTTAAAATAAAGAATATTAAATTATGTTTTCTTCATTTTTTATTATAACAATAAATATATTATTTAACTTTATTAGAATGATTAATTATTATAAAGAAAATAAAATTTAATAATCTAGTTAGAATAATTATATAAATTAGTAAAATAAAATATATATATATATATATATATATATATATATATATATATTTATATATATATTTATATTTATATTATAATATATATTTTTATATATATTTTTTAATTTTATTTAAATAAGATATTATGAAATTGGTCTAATGATTGAATTTTGTGCTTTTGCAGAAATTTTAGATTTAGTTTCTCCCTATAATGTTAGTAAAATACCTACTAATTGGTTTACAAAATCTCTTATTCCTAATCTTTGTGGAAGATCTATTAGTAATAGAATATTTCATGTTACTTTGAGAGTTATAATGGAAGATATTCCTTAAATAATTATTTAATTGATTTTTATTTATAGATAATCTAAATAAAGTGAAAATCAATAAAAAGATATAACTGTAATTTTATTTTTTTAATTATATATTTTAAGTAACAAAATATAGGCATCATTATCTATTGGATCTAGTCTTTTTTCACTTTTTATTGCCGTATTTAAAGTTATAACTATTAGTCCTTCTATTATTACTTAGTTAGATTTTGATGAATTATCAATTAGAAAATAAAGCGAATTGAAAGACGTTATAGAAGAATTTAGAAACAATGAATTGTAGATGATGTAAAGGATTAAATAAATTTTAACTTAAAAGTAATCTTTAAAAGAATATGGGTTAACTGATTCGAAAATCGGAAATTATTTTATTAAAAAAGTTACAAGTAATAATGACGATGTAATTGATTTGTTAAAAAGTAAAGGATTAGAATTAAGTAAATTATCAAATGATAAAAAAAATAATAAACTTTAAATTAATAAATAAATTATTATGTAATCTAAATGATTTATGTTATTTTAACTTGTCTTATATATATTAAAAGCTGATATTTGGCACTTTTTTAAGTTTTGTTCTATTTTTTTGTTATAATATATATTTATTTAATTAGTAAATGATTTATTTGTTTTCATTTTTTAATATATAAATATAAGATAAAATTTTTTATTATGAAAACGATTATATGCAATTTTTTAATTGAATAATTTAAGTGTTTTTATAAATTTAAAATATGATAAAAATTTTATTAATAAAATAAATATAAATAAAAAATATTTAATAAATTAAATATAACACAAATATATTAATGTCTTTTAAATTAATATCTTAAATATAAATTAAAAATTTAATGAGACAAAAAATATATAATTATATAAAATAGCTAAAAAATCATATAATTATTAAAATAAATATAGTTTATCTCATAATATTTTTAAAACCAATACTAAATAGTATTTTAATTACATAATATTAACTTTATATTATAAAGTTATCAATACTAAATATTAAAAAAGGCTGCAAAAACAAATATTATGGGGAATATCCATAATTAAAAAACTATTTAAAATATAATTTAATATATAATAGACGTTGCTTTTATATAATTTTTTTCATTTGATTACTAAAAATATTTTTTTTTTTTTTTATAAAAAATATTATTAAAATTGTATTGATATAAATTTATTGTTTGAATATCTTAATTATTAAAAATTAAAATTAAAAAAAATATAAATATAATTTATTTAATAATAATATACGAAAAATAAATTTAATAAAATAATTAAAAAAATAATAAAAAAAATATATCTAACATTATAATGTAATAAGCCGAAACTCAAAATTTAGAATAAATTAAATTAACATTTGAATTTGAAGGAAATAAATTATTAGATTTAGAAGTAATAAAAAAATAAAATAATAATAACTAACATTAAAATTAAAAAGGTTATTCCAAATGACATGCTTTTATAAATAAAATAACTTCTAAGCGAATCTACTTTAATGTGTTTTTATTAAAACTTTTACTTTGAATTCAATCAAAAAAGATTAAATGAATATATAGAAATTTCTTAAACTGAATTATAAAATGATTCTACTATAAAAATTAAATTAGGTAAATAAAATAATATTTTTTAACTTCAAAAAAAAAAATCAAAAAAAATTAAAAAGATCTTTTTGATGAAAGAAGTGCAAAATATCATTTAAATAAAGTTTAAGAAGCATTAAAAAATCCTTAAAATATAATATTTGTTTATTCAAGTAAATAAATATTCTAATTTTACAGAAATTTATTTAAAAATATTTACATAAAGAATAAAAAAGCGATGAATAGGAAAATTAATAAAAATAAGAAAAACAATAAGAAATAAATTCGGACGAAGAAGATACAAATACAAATTAACCAAATTAACAATAATTATAATAATAAGGCACAAAAACATAATAAGAACATTAAGTAAAAATATAAAGAAATTTATATTAAAAACTATTTTTTTAAGTAAAACTAATCATCATATTCATTAAATGACTCAACAAATGCTTCTTTATTAAATAAATATATATATAAAGTATTTTAAGACGATAATAAAAGCTAAAATACAATATAATGTATAAATTTCATTAATTTTTCAGGTTTTAATCCCCCACCTGATTATCGTAAAATAAACGGCGACTTATTTTATTTATATGTAATACTAAAATAAATATTATTTTTTGTTTTTTTTTTAAAAAAAAACCAAAAAAAAAAAACAAAGGTAAAAACTTTAGAAAATTTAAACTTCCATATTACTGTCTGTCCATAAGGATTTTATTTAAATAAATCGAATTCTAATTTTTATGATCCAGAACCTTTAAATAAAAATGCAGTTCCATTTTAAAATTTGATTGATTTATTAATGAATGTTAGTCTTTTATTTAAGTAAAAATCAAAATTATTTAATAAAAAGTAAAAAAAAAAATATAGAGAAAATTTTGAAAAATTAATAAAATAAAATTCAGAAGCTAAATAAGAATAACCTCTATTGAACTTTTACAAATATGGAAATAAATGGCTTTATCAACCTCCAGAATAACATTAATGGGATATGAATAGATGTGAAAACTCTCTTTTAAATTTATATGGATTTGATCCTATTAATATTAGAGATTGGAACGAAGAATTATAAGTATGTAGAGACTTACCTTCTTAAGATTTCGTATAAAGATTAAATAAAAATAAAGCTTTAATAAAAGTATATAATGATTTTATTGGAGCAGCATTAGAAGGTGCAAAAGCGGTAATTGAATAAAATATTTAACCTTTAAATCCTATGGATCCTCCTCATTAATAAGTTTATGTATTTAATAGTATTTTTTTTTCTTTTGCATTAGAAAATGACGATAATTTTAGAGTAAAATAATATTTTTTTTTAATTTAAACAAAAATAAAACAAAATTAAGTAAGAAAATGGGAGTGATGATTCACCTAATGTTTCAGTTGCAAATTAAGATTTGAGAAATTTAAGAATTTTACATAAATTAGAAATTCCTGGTTTAAATTTATTAAATACATGCTTAGTTGATTATAAAGGAAAAAAAATAATCGCTTAAAGTGTTATTCCTGGAATTTTAAATAGTGATCATTATAATTGTTCAGAATATGGTTCTATAGATAATGGAAAAACAATTACTTCAAATAAAGAGGTATTATATATATATATAAATATACTTATAAAAAAAAAATTAGTTTGAATAAATAATGAAAAAAGTTTGCGAATATTTCAATTTAGATGATTAAGTATTATTCTATGATGAAAATAAATAAGAACATAGTCTAAGTGGTTCTATTGAAATAAAAGGAATACGTGGAAGTGATCGTAGAAGATATATTTTAGATCTATTACGTCTTTCTCCTAGAGATTTGAACTATCCAGATAGTAAAGAACATTCATGTTGTGTATTGAGATAAGAGTTGATATTTAACTATATAATGTCAAAGAATTTCGAAAAAGCCAGCAATTAAATAAAAGAAGAAGAAACAAATGCAGAAGATTTAAAAGAAGAAGAAAAAAATAAGAAAAATGTCCAAAAATTGCTTTAATTATAAGAATATTTATAAAATCCAGAAAATCATATAAAATTAAAATTAAATACAAATATAAGTACAAAAGCTCCTTTAGTTCCAAACGAAAAGTTAATAAAATAAGAAAATGAGTTAAAAGAACTAGCCGAGTATTTAATAAATAAAGGAATTCCTAATTTAATAAATGACCTTGTAAATAATTAAGAAAATAGCAGATTAGCTGATTCGTTAAGTGTAAGTGATTGCTTTCATTTAAATGGGGTTAATATAAGATATTTAGGAAAAGTGATAAATTCTTTAAATTAAAACGATTATCCACATATTTTAATGATTTTATAAAAAACTCTTCTTGTTAAATGCTTGAAACATGTTTTAAGAGAAATTATGAGACTTTCAGTTTAAAATGAAATTCCTTATTCAATTTCAAATGCTTTGAATTGTATTTTTAGTGTTTCTGATATTAGAGATAGGTTGGAAAAAGGAGAAATTTGCTAATAAAAGAATAACACAAATAATGAAAATATGGGAGGAGGGGAGAAAAATAAATAAGGAAAGAAAAATAAGAAATAACATAGTAACAAATAGTAAAAAATATAAGTTTTAAATAAAAGTAATTGCATTGTTTTACCTTAATGGGAAGTATCAAAATTAAAGCCTTCCCAAATTTGGGAAAAAGTACTCAATTTAGCTAAAAAAAGATACGGATATGATGGATTTCCTGAAAATATGTCAAATTTGAATTTACTTAATTTAAAATTCAATAAGCTTTCGATTTTGAGAGATTTATTAAGAACTATTGGTGTTTAGATTTTATATAAAGATTATTATTTTAGCTATTAAGATTATTTGAATGAAAAGAAAAATAATACAAGTAATTTATTGAATAATAATGAGTTCTTACCTTTTACACCTGAAGATATTTAAAATATTACTCCAAATGTTAAATATATTGATGTTTATTCGGATGATATTAGATAAACTATTGAAACTGCTCAATAGTTTTTACATGAATAAAAGTTTTAAGAAGCTTTAGAATATTATCATAGTGCTATATAAATAATATTTAATGTATTTTTTTTATAACAAAAATTATATTAAATATATATTAAAATAGCTTTATGGAAATCATCATAAAGATATAGGAGTTTGTCATAATAAAATAGGTGCTATTTATTATAAATTAGGAGATTTTGCAAATGCTATTTATTATTAAAAATAATCAATTAAAATATTGTAGAAAATATATAGTTTTGATCATTATTAAATCGCTTAAGGATATCAAAATTTAGGATTTTATTACTTTGGATGGAAAAAATATAGTGTTGCTTGCAAATATATAAAAAAATCATTATTCATTTATCTTTTAGTAGGAGGAGAAGCTCATCCTGATACTTAGTTTTGCTTTTTTAATTTATCTTTAATGTTTTAAGAAAATGAATAACATTAATAAGCTCTTAATTGCCTACTAGAAGCTTTAGATAGAAATATATTTATTTATGGCAAAGATCATTTAAAAATTGTTGGATGTTATTAGGCTATTGCTTTAATTCATTATGATATTGATGATATTAAATAGGCTATTGATTATTAATAAAAATGTATTGAAATTTTGAAAAAAGTAACAAAATTTTAAATCTGTTTTTTTAATTTTTTTGGATTTTTTTTTTTTTTTTTTTAGCATTTAGAACCAGAAGATCCGAGAATTAAAGATTCTTTGCTCTTTTTATATAGGTTTGAAAGTGCATTAGCAGAGAAGAAAAAAGGAATTTAATAAAGTACTGATAGCAATGGTTTTAATTTTATTTTTTTAGGAATTATTTTAAATACTTTTTTTTTTTTAGGAAATTCAAGAGAATTCGGAACTAATAAAGGAAGTAAAAATAAAAATAAAGATAAAAAAGAACAAGATAATAATAATTTAAAAGATAAAAATATTCATACTAATGATGTATTTTTATATATGATATATATTTAATTTATTTATTTGTTATATATAAAATATAGGAAAGAGAAATTTTAAAATAAAGACTTAAATTTGCGAAAATAAATGCTAAGTTTGGACATAATCCAAATAATAGATTCTTTCAATAGTATGATGCAAATGCATATTAATAATATTAATAGTCTGAATAAGAATATTTGAAAAGAGAATTACTTATAAAGTAATAAGAAGAAAAGAAAAGAATGGAATAAATATAAAAAAGTTAATAATGATAAAAACAAATTTATTGAAATAATAATAAATATATTTTCTTGGAAAAATATATTTAAAATTTTTTTATTTATATATTTTATTTAAAAAGTTTTTATTCTTATGTTACATTTAATTTTAAAAAAAAAATTAAATTTATCAAAATTTATATTTAAAAAAAAATAAAAATATAGATAAAATATATATATATATAATTTATATTTTTTATTAATTTAATAGTTTATTATTATTTTAAAACTAATTAATTTTATATTATTTAAAAAAATAAAAAATTATATACAAAAATATTTTCAAATTTATTATCTTATTATTTAATTTTTTTATTTAATAATTGTTTTAGTTTTTAAAAAATATATTAATAATTAAAAACTAATTATTAAAAATTAATTATTAAAAAAAAGTGTAATTTTATATATAAAGGACAGAAATAAATATAAAAATTAATTTTCTATATATTTGTGATATAAAATTATTTTTTAAATAATATATAAATTAAATTAATTTTTCTTCAAAATTATATTTAAATATATAATAATAAATTTATACATAATAATGAATAAATAATATCTATTTAAAAATAAATAAAACGTGTTTATAAAATAATATTATATATAATCTTTTTCATGATAAAACTATCCAATAATAATATTATTTTGTTTATTAGATTACTATATACAATTAAAAATTAAAATTTTCTTATAATAAATTATTTTATTTTTAATCTTAAAATAAAAATTAAATAAAAGTACTGTAATTATATATATAAAATCAAATGTAAAATTCTAATAAAGACTTTGATTATGAATCATGTATAAAATGGTTAGATACAGCAATTCAAACATATGAGAATAGTTAAGATCTTCCAAATGAAGAAATATGCAAATTTATATTCGAGTTCACAAAAATATTTTAAAAAATGGGCAAGTTATTAAATATGGCATTCAGTGATGTAATCGAAAAAGTCGATATAATGCGCGAAAAGAGCAATTTATATAAAGACGAATGCAATGGAATGATTTTTTAAATAATCAAAAAGGAAATGAATTTAAATATTCATAAATTAAATGGAGAAAATAATAAGAAATTAACAAACGACCCTCAATATTGTAAATATAATTCTTTTTCGAGAAATTTATTAAGAATGATGTGGTTTTAAGATTTTTTGAAAGTAATGTTTGAGTAATTATTAATTGATAAAAAATAAAGTTCGAGTAAAGTATTTTCTAAAGCTTATGATTATGCGTTTTCGAAACATCATACTTTTTTGATAAAAGCAGGAGCATCTTTAGCTATGAATTCAGCGGCTAAAAGGGAGAAAATATTTGAGTATTTAGTTAATTAGGTTAATTGTGAGGATTTGGCTTATTAAGTAATGAATTAACTTTTTGAAAGGATTTAATAGATTATTTTAATTTTATGGAAATTTTATAAATAAAATAATATAGATGAATTGCCCTGAATTAATTTTTTATTTTTTTTTAATAAAATTGAAACATATATATTTATTTATTTTTCTTTACTCCTTATTTTTTTTTATTATAATTTGTTAAATATACATAAGTTAAATAAAAATTCCAAAAAAAAAAAGCTCTTTAAAAAAAAAAAAAAAATTCTTTATACTCAAATATAAAAAAATAGCAAAAAATGGCAGAAACTGTAAAAGTAATGGTTCGTTGTAGACCTATGAATAAATAAGAAATAGCCAAAAATTGTTAAGCAATAATAGATGTGGATACAAAAAAAAATTCCATAACAATTAATTCTAAAGAAGGAGGAGTAGATGGTGCTAAGACTTTTACATATGATTGTGTATTTTCTACTAATAGTATATAGTAAAATGTATATGAAAGTACAGCTTTTCCATTAGTGGAGAGTGTGGTTGAAGGTTATAATGGCACAATATTTGCCTATGGATAGACTGGGTGTGGTAAAACACATAGTATGGTTGGAATTCCTACCGATGAGGTAGAAAAGGGTATTATTCCAAGAACTTTTTCCCATTTAATTAATATAGTAGAGAGCGCTAATGATAGGAAATTTCTTATTAGGTGCTCATATATAGAAATTTATAATGAAGAAATTCACGATTTATTAGCAAAAGATTGCAAAGCGAAATTAGAATTGAAAGAATCACCCGATAAAGGTGTTTTTATTAAGGATGTGACAATGAACGTGGTAAAAAGTATAGCTGAAATGGATAAATGGATGTCTATAGGGACTGATAATAGAAGTGTTGGAGCCACGGCGATGAATAAGGACTCTTCAAGATCTCATTCTTTATTTACTTTATATATAGAATGCTAAATTAAATCAGAAATAGAAGGCTAAGATGACTCTATTACTGCTGGAAAACTTAATTTAGTTGATTTGGCAGGATCTGAGAGGTTATATTATTAATATTTTTTAATTTATTTGTTTCACCCCCCAACCATTTTTTTAGGCAGAGTAAAACTTAGGCTACAGGAGATAGACTTAAAGAAGCTACGAAAATTAATCTGTCTTTAAGTGCTTTAGGAAATGTTATTTCAGCTTTGGTTGATGGGAAAACTTAACATATACCTTATAGAGATAGTAAATTGACTAGACTATTATAAGTAAATAATTAAAAACATATTGTTATGTATTTTTTTATTTTAATAAAGGATTCTTTAGGAGGAAATACTAAAACTATTATGATTGCAGCTATTTCGCCTGCAGATTATAATTATGATGAAACTTTGAGTACTTTAAGATATGCCTCGAGGGCAAAAAATATAAAAAATTAACCAAAAGTCAATTAGGACCCTAAAGATGCAATGTTAAAGGAATATTAGGAAGAAATAAAAAAATTAAAAGAAATGTTATTAAAATAGTAAAATGGAGAACAGGTTTCATTAACAGATTTTAAAATTTAAGTAAATTAACCTATGGAAAGTTAATAAAATAATAATAATTAATAGAATAATAATAATTAATAGGTTAATAATAATTAATAAAATAATAATAATTAATTAGGAAATGAATAAATATAGAAATTAAAAGATTAATAAAATGATTTAAATGCTTAAAATTAAAAAATATAGGTTGAATTAAAGAAAAAAGAGGAACTATATAATTAGTAGATATAAGAAAAATAGTAAATGGAATAATTAATTAAAGATTTGTAAAATAAAGTAATGGATGGAGGTGGAGCGGATGATGATAAGAAATAAAAAATAAAAGCTATGAGGAGTAAATTGAAATAAAAAATTTTAGAATAAGAGAAAATTTAGAAAGAAAAAGAAGAAAAAGAAGAATAGTTTTTGTTTTTGGAACATAAATATTCAAATTTATAAGAAGAGTTGGAAGAAACAAGGAAAATTGTTAAAAAATTAAGATCGAAATATAAATAAGCAACGTAGGAAGTAAAAGATCTATAAAAAGAAAATGAAATTTAAAAAGTAGATATTTTAGATACAATTAGAATGTAATAAAATGAGTTAAAAATTTATTAAGAGATTTGTAATATGTTACTTACTGCAGAAGAAATAAGTATTATAAAAAGCTAAGGAGAATGGTCTGATGATTATTAATAGTATAAATTACCTTATTTTTATTTAAAAGCTAATAAAGGAATTTAGTTTATTAAATTACCAGGAGTTTAAGGATAGGAATAATTATAAAATGAAAAACAATAAAGAAGTTTAGTGTTTGAATAAAAATCAAATAATTAAATAGGAATATCATAAAGTTACGATAAAAAATAAAATAAGATGAGAGATTTTTCAAACGGAAGTTATTAAAGACTTGATATTGCAGATGAAAATAAAAAAAGTATATTTTCAAATAGTAATTGGAAAGAAGAAGATTATAGTAATGGAAATAATGATGCTAATAATAACATGAATAATAATTATAAAAATATTAGAAATCATAGTAAAAATCATAATAATAATTTTAATGATAATAATAATAATAATAATAATAATAATAATAATAATAATAATAATAATAATAATAGTAATAATAGTAATAATAAAAATTTTAGCAGTGGATTTTCTAGAAAAGATAATTATTCAAATTTTAATACACCGCCTTAAATTGAGAAATAAAATTAAGGTTATTTTTTATGCTTAGTTTTTTATATTTTATTTTTTTAGATAAATTAAAAGTTCCAAAAGTTCAATTAAATCCATTATCTTTGTCTGATTTTAATAAGTAAGGAAATAACTTCAATAATTAATAAAATTAAGATTAATAAAATACTTTTTAATAAATAAAAGTTCTTAAAAGTTATTTTTATTTTTTATTATTAAATTAATATATTAATAATATATGTTTTATAGATGTTTAATTAGAACCTATTTAATAAAAAGGGTTATTATTGAATTCTTCTAATAATTCTTTGTAATCAAATGATTTAAATGTTGATAATATTATAAATAAATCTCCAAATAAAATAAAATTAGATAAAATAAATAATCCCAATAAATGATATTATAAACTAATATTATTATGTATTTTTAAATTTTATTTAATAATATTATTTTTTTTAATATAACATAATTTCATATAAATTTATACACTCGTTATAATTTATTTCTAAAAAAAGATATTATTAATATTATATTTTTTTAATTTATTTTATGTCTTACTTAGTATATTAAATAAAAAGTTATATTTTTTATTCCTTATATTTATTTACTTTTTCTGTAATTTATTTTATTTTTAAAAATAATGAACATAAAATATTCATTTTAAATAAAAAATTAGTAAAAATAGAATAAAATAAAAAGTTAGTAAAAGTATGTATTTTAATTGCTATTAAATTATTTTCTTATATATTATTGTATTATTCTATTTTAAAAAATTAAATATCAAATAGTATATAAAAGATTTAAATATTAATAAAATAAATATAAATTTTTTTATGTATATTAATTTATTTTGTATATATTTATAAAAAAAATAAAGATATATTATAATTTTATGTTTTTTGTTATTATAAATTAATTGTCCCTCAAACTAACTTATTTTTCAGTTTAAATGATTCTTTTTTTTTTTTTTTTGTAGAGATAAATATTGGGATTATATTAGATGTCTTAATTTATGGAGATATAATATATATATATATATATTTTTATTTTTTTTCAGATTTTAGTTAAAAATGTTGATTTATTTTTGCGTTTTATGGGTGAATTTTTAATAAAACTAAGAATTTCTTTTTATTTATTTTTTTCATTTTCTTAAATTTATTTAACCCTTTTCATCATTTCTTATCTCATATTTTCTAAAGAATAATAGTTTTTTTAAACATAAGGTTTTTATTATTATTAATTAATTAATTGGTAATCATTTGCAAGTAAATTACTTTATTAATTAAATATGTTAGTGCCGTTTTTATCAATAAGTGGCTATTCTAAATAATCATCATAATCAAGTTCATTTAATAAATTTTCTTATAGATTTTCTGATAATTATATATTATTATTATTTTTATTAATTATATTATTATTTTTGTTAATATCATGTTTTTAATAGCTATCATTATTAGATAGGCTATTATTTATTTCAGAAAGTTTATTTTTAATAAATTGAATATCATCTAGTTATATATGGTTATATAAAGCCTCTATTTTATCAAAAGAAGTGATAAACTCCTATTTATCTAAAAATGCTAGTAAGGAAAGTTTTTCTAAAGCTAAAAAGAATTAATTAAAATTCATTTCTTAATCAGTTTTATTTGAAAAAAGTTAATAAATTTAAATTAGCTTTTCTGTGTTTATTTAGGAATTAAAAAAAATAAAATTTTAAACAAAAAGAAGAAATTATTTAAAATTTATAGTTAAAGTTTAGTGTTTTTTTTATTTAGTATATTATGATTATTTTAATCAATTTCAGTTTTTTTTGATTTATTTTTCTTATGTAATTTATTAAATTCCTCCTTCTTTTCTTTTTCTTTATTTTTAGCAAAAAAAGTGAAGATTAATTATAAATTTTTATTTCGGAATTCCCTTTTTTCCAGAGAATTTTTAAATAAAACCGAAGGCTTTAAATCTGAAAAAATGAATTTTTCTTAAGCTTTTTTTTCCGCTTCTTTTTTAAAAATTTCATCCTTTAATATTTCTTGTATTTATTCTTTGATTTTTTCCTGTTTTTTTTATTAAAATTCCATTTCTTTTTTTTTCTCTTCCATTTCGAATTCTCTCATATATTCTTCCATTTCTTCTTTACTTATAATTACTTCTTTTTTCTTTTCAATAATAACAGGTGGTTTTGGAGAACTTTCTTTAGGTTTTTCTTCCTATATGGCTGGTTTTTTAATTTTTTATTCTATTTTACTCGATAATTCAAATAAACTGGATGTTAATATTATTTTTTAGAGAATATTTTCTTCTAGAATATTTAATGGAGTACTAGATATTGGGAAAAAGAAACTCTCTTCGCCTTTTTTTTGACTAAAAATGCTTGTTTTTTCTTTCGAGAAACCGTTTTTGACTGAAAAATATCGGTTTATATTTTTAAATACATTTCTCATTTCTTCTATTTGTGCTTTTAGTGTTTCCTCCACATAAATAGTATTTTCTTGTTTTTTTTTAAATTACAATTTTCCTATAATTGCATATGAAAAATCGTAATTTTAAAAATGGAAATCTTTCATGGAAAAAATACCTTTTTTTTCTTAATAAAAGGGTATTATTTCTTCGCCTTTTTCCACTATAAGGTCTAATGCTTGACTTAAATATTAAAAATCGGTTTCTTTATGTATAAAAGAGGTTTCTAATTATACATAGCCTTGTACAAATTCATTCAGACCGAATTATATTTGGCTTTTGAATTCTTAATTTTTCCAATAAATTATTTTTTTGGGCACATTTAGTATTTTGTGGTCTTTTTCTAAATATATATTGTACCCACAAAATGCTTATATACCAAAAAAATCGTTTAAAATTTAGACTAGAAGTTATGGGTGGAGAAAAGACTGGTTTTATAAATCAAAAAAGAGTGAATTTTAGACATTTATTTGTATTTGGAAGATATTTTAACTTTCTTGGAGAATTTTAAGCGTTTTTTTTTAATCTTGATGCTTTTATTTATCATTTAATATTTATTGTAAAATTAGAGTATTTTTTTCGTTTTATTCATTGATTTTTTCAAAGGAAATTTTATTAAAAGCTTATAAAATAGATACTAAAGTATATATTTTATTAAGGTTAAAATTTAAATTTTAGGAGCTTTTTCTTCCTTTGTCTTATAAAAAATTTATAACTGTATTTTTTTTACAAAAAACTAAATTCGGTGTTTTATTTAAACCTCCTAAGAGGGTTTTTTGTGGATTTATAATGAAAAAATCTATTATATAATAAAGTATATTTTTTTCGAAAAAATTAGGCTTTTTTAATATAAAATTGGAGATGTTTAATATAGTGTAGATATTGCTTTTTTAGATTCCTTTTTTTTCTTAGTTTTCTTTTATTCCTAGTATTATTTCGAGGATTTCTTCTAGTTCTTTTTCTTCTTAAAAATCTTCGTCTAAAGATATTATATGGAAAAAATCTTAATTTTCTTTTATTTTTTCGTGTATTTTTTCTAATAGTTCCATTGGCTTTTGGAAGGTTTTTAATTCGCATTTTTTATTTAATATCCATACTATTTAATTCTCGAATATCGAAGCATTTTTCGTGTATATTTTTATATCTTCTTTTTCTAAAAATAACTTTGAGATTTGTGAATATACATTTAGAAGAGAATTTCCGAATTCTTATAAAGAATATTATTTCGGATCGAATTTAAAATGGTCATATAGGTAGCTCAAGCAATAATTTTGCAGATCTTGGTATCTTTGGCCTTCGAATGTATTTTTATGTTCAGTTGCATTTAAATTATATTTTAATTTGTTTATATTTTGTTCTATATTACGGAATTCTAGGGATTATTATGATAAATTGAAAGGAACTGTACATAATTCGCCGAAAGGAGTTATTATTTTACTCTAATAAGAATTTAAATTATTAATAATTTCGTCAAACATGAATTTTTTTGATATAAAGAATAAATTATAATAATAAAATAATAATCTGAGAAAAAAAATAAAAAAAAATAAAAAAAAATCACTAAACTTAATTAATAATTAAATCTCGGAAAAAACCATTTTTATTTTTTATTTTTATTTAATTTTTTTTTTTTTTATAAAAATTAATATTCATTTTAAGATTATTTAACTTTTTATTTTTTTTTTAATAATAATATTAAAAATAAAAAAAAATGCGAATAAATTTCCCCCTCCCCCCCCTTTTTTTGTTTTTTTTAATAATAAAAAAAAAAAAACAATTAAAACAGGTTTTTTTAAATACTAAGAATAAAAGTAAATAATTCTAAAAATTTGGATGTTAAAAAAATTTAGCTTAAAACCAAAAAAAAATTTTTTGAAAAAAATAAAATAAATAAAATGAAAAATAATTAAATTCAATCATTATCTGTCCTTTTAAAAGCCACTCCATTTAAAAATCCGCATTAATAAGAAGAATATTAACAAGAATTATAATAAACATCAAATAATGATTTAGTAATAATATCCGACCCTCCTTTAAGAAAACACTCTAAATTAAATCCTGAACAATAATCTTAATAATAAATAAATCCTTAATATTAAATAAACTCTTCTCCTTTAGAAATAATAGAATAACCCTCACCAAATTTAAAATAAGAAAATCCTTATTAATTTAATGAATTACTGCTTCCTGGCCAAGAACCTTTACCAGTTCATGATAACTAACAACTAATAGTAAAAACAATAAGAAGAAACTAAGTAACAGTAATTTCAGGGAACACTGGTTGTGGTAAAAGTACTCAAATCCCCAAATTTATAGCAATTCAGAATGTCTAATCGAAAATAATAGTCACATAACCACGTCGAGTAGCCGCCATAGCACTAGCTTAGCGTGTTTCAGAAGAATTAAAAAGTCCTTTAGGCGTTAGAGTAGGTTATTAAATCGGATAGGAATCAAGATAGAACAAAAGTACTCAAATTCTATACGTAACTATAGGTATTTTCCTATAGAAACTAGTAAATGACCCTGAGGGATTTTTATCGGAATACACTCATATTATTTTAGACGAAGTACATGAGAGGGGAATAGAATCTGATTTCGCTTTAATTGCTTTGAAGACTTTTTTAAGTTTATAAAAGGAGTCTTCGGAAGTTAAATTGGTTATTATGAGTGCGACTTTAAATAAAGAGATTTTTTTGAATTATTTTTCGGAAAATTAATTAAACTCTTTAAAGGAAGAAATCGAAATGGATTAATTCTAAACAGAAAATTATTTCCTTTAGTAGAAATTCTCGAGTAAGTCTAAAAATTAACAAAATTAAGGATTTTAGTAAAATAATTCCAATTTTTGGCCTACTGCAGATAACTAGTAGTAGAATATTAATTGGGGAGTTGATGATTATGAAAATTAGGAAAATTAAGACATTGAAAATAGTGCAGTGTGTAAATATAATGGACCATATAAAGAAAATAAATAAAATTTTGTGGAAATTTAAGTCAAGAAAACTTACTAAGTACATTTAGTATGGCTTAACGATATAGATATAAATAAGAAGTTTTGTAATAAGAATTATTTCAATATCAGAAGACCTGAACTAAATGAAGATTTGTATCTTTTAGTGACTATTTAAGTTAAAAGAGTGCTTTTTAAGGAAGAATAAGCCTTAAATTAATTATATAATGTAAATGGAAGTATTCTTATTTTTCTACCAGGGTATAATGAGATAATTAAAATGAGGTAAACTTTAGAGGATTATATTATGAAAAGTCCAGTTTAATAAATAAAGTAGTTTCCTTATAAAATTCTTGAGTTACATTCTAGTTTAGGAGATGTGAATACTAGAGAACTTTTAGGCTAGTAAAAATACCAGAAAATTATTCTAGCAACTAATATTGCGGAATCTTCAATTACTATTCCTTTCTGTTTTGTTGTTTTTGATTTTTGTCTTACTAAAGAAATCAATTATAATCATTCTAATGGAATTGAAAGATTATAATTAGCTTGGTCTAGTAAAGCATCTATTATTTAAAGAGCTGGGAGAGTATATATATATATAATTTACATAGTATGTTTGTTTGATTATTATTTTTAAGACTGGTAGAAACTGTGATGGGTTTAATATTAGAGTTATTCCGAAAGAGTTCTTTTTTAATGATATTAAAGATTATTAAACTCCGGAAATTCTTAGATGTCCAATTGAAAAAGTTATATTGAAAATTAAAATATTAGATGAAGGGGAAGATAATGAAAATAAAATTAAAATTATAAGTAAAAAATAATATATATTATTTTTTTTATATATAAAATATATATATATATATATATATAAATATATAAATATTTATAAAAAAAAAGATAATGAATGCGAAGAAACTGAATTAATAGATGAAATAATATTATAAAAAACTATGATAAAGAAACAAGAATCAGAATTAAAATCCGAGTAATCAAGTTTTCATTAATAAAAAAAATAAAAGCATTACTAGGACGATAGTTAAAGACCAAAAGAAGATGAAAAATAAAAGCCTAAACTTCGAATGTTCGAAGATCCTGTAAGAGTTCTTTTAAGGGCAATAGAAAGTCCTTCTGATTATAATATTTTTTAAGCTATGGAAAACTTAATATCTATAGGGGCATTAAAATTGATTAAAGTTTAATAAATAATCGAAGAGTAGACTTTAGAAAAAATAAAGGTAAAAGTAACGAAATTAGGGAGGTTTTATAATGATATTCCTTGTAATATTAAATTGGGGAAATTTATTTGTTTTGGGTATTTTTTTGATTGCTTAATTGAGTGTATTATTATTGCTTCTATTTTTTCTTAAAGAAAATAATTTTTTATTCCTTTTTAGAAAATTAGTACTGAGTTTGATGCTTTGGCTTAGTTTACTGATGTTTTGTTTAAATATGACTCTGGGTTTTAATCTGATATGATTATTTAGCTTAAATTATTTAAGGAATGGGAAGAATGTTTCTTTTTGCCTGAATATATTGCCAGAATGAAAAAAGATAAATAATTTTTTAAATAAGAAATATTTAATAATTAAAATTCTGTTAATAATAATTACTATAATAATGAAGATGAGGAAGAATTAGAAAGCTTTAAATAAAATATACCTTCTCTTTAAAATGAGGAAGATTATATATATATTATTAGTAGAAAGTACCTCAATTTTTTCAAAAAATAGTCTTATTCTAGAGAAGAAAAAACTTGGTGTAAAGCACATTTTTGTGATCCTAAAGTATATATTTTATGCTTTTATTTTTAAAAATATTTTAAATAATATAAGATTTTAAGAGAAATCATTATTTCTAGAGAAGATTTTAAACTCAGAATTCCTAAAGAAGCTGGATATATAAATGAGCTTTTTAAATGCAAAGATTTAAATAATGAAGATCATGTGGAAAAAATAAAATTCTGTTTAGCAGGTGCATTTAATAAATATACAATAAAATCGGATATCTTTGACCCTAAAGAAATGAAAAAAATTCGCTCTTTTTTAGTTGTTGAATAAATGGATCCTTTGAGTACTATTATTGTGGAAAATACGAGATATTTGTTTTCTACTTTAAGTATAGAATAAAAATAATAATTAATAAGTCTTTTTAAGACCGGGATTGAGAATTTTTGTAGTTAATAACTAGGTGATAGTTATTTTTTCCCTAAATATGATAGAAAATAAGAACATGTTAAAAAAATTTCATTTAAATTTTCGGCTGTTTATATTGAGTTTTTCCCATTTAATTATTTAAACATTTTAATTAAAAAAATATTGACTTTAAAGCAAAGGTCTTATTATCTTTTATATATATATATATATATATTAGAATATTAAAATATTAAAAAGATATTGGAATTACTCTAAATTAAACGAAAGAATATAAAATAGTTATGTAGAATGTGAAGCAAGCGAATTATTTAAAAAATGCCATAATTATGTAGATTTTATGAAAATAATAATAAAAGATTAAAATATTATTAAATATGCTTATTAGGCACGTTTAAATTTAACAAATTAAAATATAAATAACATTGTATAATTAGAATCAGATTCAATAAACTTTATTACTATAGGAGATTTTAATAGACATAGCTATTTAGTTGCTTTTGATTTAATGTGTAGGGGGCATAAAATAGTAGCCTAAGGTATAACTTTAATGCCTCCTGGAAAACCACTTTTTTTAGTTTTCGCATCTCTTATTTTCGGATCTTAATGTTATGTTAAGTATTATATAAATATAATTATATTAATATATATATAATAATATTAATAAATATATATATAATTATATAAATATATATATATATATATATATATATATTATTATATTAATTACATCTATATAATATGTATCAAATATTTATTAAATATAAGTACTGAATTAGATGGGAAAAAATATGAAGCAATTAATGTTGATGGTACGGAAATTTAAATTGATCATTATATGTTAGATAAAGATATTGATGAAATTAATTTGATTAGAAAAGAGCTTAAAAAATGTTTAGATGAGGATAGTTTTTTTAATTCTAAATCAAATAAAAATCTTGATTTGTGGAATAAAATTAAACAAAAATTATTAAATAGAATTTTTCTTAGACATGTTGATTGTGAAAAATGGGAATAATTGTTTTCTTTGGAATATAATAATAAACAAGGAATAGCTATTATAAATAATATTTTACATAATAAGGATTTCATTTAATCAAACGGTACATCTTTAAATAAAATATAGCCTTTATTTAACAATAAAAGACGAAAAACAAATATTGAAAAACAACAATATTCATCTGAAAAAGGTTTTATGAATTTAATTAGCAAATCCAAAACTGTCTAAGCATGCTCATCGGTTACATTTTCTAATATAGATAATATTAATTTATTAAACGATTATTTTGCAAGCTATAATTTATGGAAACAAAGGAAATTAAAAGAAATTAAAGAATTTTATGTTTTATAAACTGTAAATGAAGTAATGGTTTCTTGTCGAAGATGTTTTGAAAAATATCATTTTTATTTAGTTTTATTTAAAGCCTGTAAACTAAAAAATTACTCTCATGAAATAAAACTACTTGATTTTAACACTTTTACTGATTGTTTATTTAATAAATAAGTTGATTTTGAATGTTTAAATAACTTTTTGAAATTAAAAGATGTAAAATTTTATATTTTTTAGAAATATATAATAATATATATATAAAGGATGATGATATTTTAAATCATAAATTTATATAAGATACATAAAAATATGTATTATAAAATTAGAAGTATTTTTTAGAATATTTAAGAAATAGAAAATAAAGTTAAAAATAATAATAAAATATTAAAATTGAATAATAGGAATTTTAAAATAAATTGAAAATTAAATAAGAAGATTTTAATTAAAAATAAGAATATTTAAAAGAAGAAATTCTAGAATTAAATCATAAAGAATTTTAATATTTTAGTAAAATAACTCAAATCAAAATATATATCAAAAAAAAGGTTGCTAAAATGGACATTTAATAGGCTTTAGCTTAGATGAAAATTAGATGTATAATTTAATGTATATTCCTGATATTGGTAATCTTTAGTTACTATATCCTGGATTGTAACATATTGATTTTACTTAAGAATAGTTTATTAATTATAATATGAATGTCTATAATGATATTGCTGAATATAAAGAATCTTAGGCAGAAAAATTAGATGAACTTAAAGAAATTAAATGCATAATATGCTATTCTTTTGATAATAATACAGAAAATTAATAATAATTAGAAGAGTTTTATCGACAAAATAATTTATAAAATTAAGATTGGTATAGTTATCTTGAAAAACATATAAAAAGTGAATAACATAAAATAAATGAGGAATTATTTTTAAAAAGTACTAAAAATCATAATTATTTTTTTTAAGAATGAAAACTAATAATTATTAAATATATTAAATAAAATAATAAAAAAAAAAATTAAGATTTTATTTTTATAAATATAATATTTTTATATATTAATATAATAAAATATTTAAATAGAAAAAAAATAAAAAAAAAAAATTATTAAAAAAAAAAAATATTTTTAAAAATAAATTTATATATTATTTTCCTCCATTATAATTATAAATAATAATAATTATATCATAAATAAACATATTTTAATAAAAATAAAAAATATTGAACTAAATATTTTAAAATAATATATATAAAAATTTTTTAGTAAATATATGTATATATATAATATATATCTATAAATTTATATATATATATATTTTATTATATTTATAATAAAAATAATTATAAAAAACTACATTCTTTCACTCTACTTCGACATCTGTACTAAAAGAAAAATTTCTATCAGTTAAATTCTAACAACTTTCAATCATACTTTCCGATATATTAGAATTACATTCAATTTAGTATTCACTTTTAACAGTTTACATATCATCAATATTAAATCCATCCATCATAGCAGGGCTTATTTATAATTAATGTATAAATTTACTTTACTTATTTTTTTCTCTTTAAAATAAATTATTTTCATCATCTAAATTTACAAGTCCCTCATTTTTTATTGAAAATTAAACATTTTCATATAATTTATTTTTTAAATAGTTTTTATTATAGTTATAAAGTTTTTAATAGTCCCATAAAAAAAACGTATTTCCAAAACTTTACTTATTTAAATCCTCATCATCTTTAAGGTTGTTTATTTAATAAGCTGCAACTCCATATATTGAATGTATATATTTATTATTTCTGGGCTAAAATTAAAATCTTTTATATAAGAAATGTTCAGCTTATAACTTAAAATCATATAATATTGGAACAAATTATTTTCTAAATTATCTTTTATAACTTATCAAGCTTCTTTAAATTAACGAATAATGATTATAATAAATCATTTTTTTTTTTTTTAGTTTTTTAATTTAAAAATAATATATATTAAATCTTAATTCAATTATATATTGTTTTGTGTTATATAATAAATAATACTTTTTCTTTAATTAATATTAAAATTAATATATTGTATTATTTTCAATATAAATTAAATTATTTGTATTTTAGTATTTTTCTTTTATTTTAAATTATTTATTCATATTATTTATAATTAAAAATTCTAATATAAAATAAAAATATAAACATTTGATAAATAAAATATATATGAAATAAATAAATTTATATTTTAATAATACATATATATATATATAAAAATATTATATAAAAAAATTAATTAAAAAAGTTAAAAAACAAAAATATTTAAAAAAAAAAATATAAAATTAAAAATATCTTTTATTAATATAAAAATAATAAATGAATAATTTTTAATAAATATATTTTAATTATTTGAATATATATATTTAATAAATTTTCAAATAAATCTAAAAAAATTTATACATTTATTTAATTATTCTATTCAAAAGTAATTATAAATTAATTTATAAATATATAATATATTCTTATTATTTTTATTTTTTTATTATATATATATAATTATAATAGTGATATCTTTATAATATGTTTTTAGTTTTTAAATTATATTAATTAAAGTATCAAAAATTATATTAATTAAAATAAAATAAAAATATTAAAATTTTTTAATAATCTGAAATATTTATAAAGAGATTTATTATATAATATTTTATTCATATTATTATTAAAATTATTATAATAATTATTATAATAATAATTATAATTATTATTATTATAAATATTAATATTATTATTATTATTATTATTATTATTATTACATTATTAAATTTTTTTATAATTTTTACTATTTATTTTTTAAATCATATAATAATGTATTTTAATTCTAATATTTTTATAAATAATTATTATTTTTAATTTATTAAAAAAAAAATATTTACTATTTAATTAATACATTTAATTAATTTTGTTTTTATATCATTATTAAGAATATTAATTTTATTTTATTATTCTATTTTCTTAATATATCAAATTAATTTTATTATTTCTAATATTTTATTAAATATTTTATTTTATCTTTAACAAAAATATTATAAATAGTTATTTAAATTAAAAAATAAAATAATACAAATATATTAAAATAATTCATTTTTAAAATACTTCTCAATACATTAATATCTTAAAACTATTTTTTTTTTATATACTTTTTAAGTTTCCCTTTAATATATATCTAATTTACAAATTTATTTTCAATCTAATAATATAATATCTTATATTATATATTTGTGAATTATTTTTTTAATTATTCATATAATCTTTTTTTATAATTTTAAAAAATTATTTATTTATTTATATTTAGTGTTCTTATTATTTAGATATAAGTTTTCCTATTATAAATTAATTTAAGTTTTATCAATTTAAACTAATTATATACTACTTATATTTTTATTTATTCTAAATATCTATTTAAAATAAATATTACTTTTTTAAAAAAATATTTAATAAACTCTATTATATTCATTTTTATTTTTAGGTATATATTATTTTCGCTGGAATACTTTCATAAACATAATCGATTTTTTTACTTAATAGTATTACAGAATATAAAAATATTTTTTTTTTTATTTAATATTTTTTAATAGTATTTAAAATTAAATTAATGAAAAAATAAAGAGAAATCATATTTATTATTTAAAATATAATATTTATTGTTGCTTATAATAGTCGAAATTATTATTAAGCTTTATTTTTTTGACTAATGTTTATGTTTTATAATATTTATATATACATTTAAAAATATATTTAATATTATACACTAATTAATAAAGTCTAAACAATATTTTAAATATAGTTTGATAATTATAAAATAAAAAGTATAATATTGAAAATTTGTTATTTTTTTTTTAATAAAACTAATTATTTTCAACCTTTTTTAAATAACCATTTATATTATATATTCATTCAATATGTCTAATTAATTTTTGATTTTTAAAATTTTTCAAAGATATTTAATATTGATTTATTTTTTGTTTAATCAATTTTAAAATTAATTATAAATTAAAAATAAAGTAAATGAAAAAATTAATTTTAAAATAAAACATATGATATACCTGTAAATATATAATATGTATATTTATTATAAATAAATAAATAAAATTAATAAAAAAAAAAGTATTTAACTATTAAAATCTTCATTTTGTTTTGTTTTGTTTTGTTTTGTTTTGTTTTTGTATATATATATTTTAAATAAAATAAATGTAAAAAATAAACATAATAAAGAAAAGAAAAAACTAACTTATTACAATATAAGAAACACTCTCAAATAATTAAGCATTTTTTTTGAAATAATTTAAGCTTATGGATAGCATCTAAAATATTCTTTCTAAAGAAGATTTGTGCGAAACTAAAGTATATTCAAGAAATTTATTAATATTTGGATAGTTCTTATCAAACACAATTAAAATATAAAATCCATATTCGAAGCTAAATCTAATATAAAAAATATGCGAATAATTTGAAAATTTAGAAAATTAAAAAATACCATATAATACAAAATTCACTATTTCAGCTTTACCCAAATTAAGTTGCGATTTAATAAGAGCAGAACTAAACTGTGTTATATAAGAAAAAACTACTTCTAAAGATATAGAATAAAATTTTAATATTTTAACTAAAACTATGAGTTTACCAGAAAATATAAACTTTTAAACTATTATTGAATCCGTATGTAATGTTTTAAGCATTATTTATAATATTTTTGTAGATCCTGCTTATGAATAAAAAGAATATTAGGATTAAATACAAAAGATAGATTCTATTATTTATGATAGGTTTATTAATCCTGTTTTTAATATTTATTATACTACTTCGGAGTTTCTTATTTAAGATGAATTTTGCAAATTGTAAGAAATAATTTTTGATGCAGATAAACATTTAGAACATACTGATATTAATAATTTTATTAAAAAATTTATAAATTGATTTTTTTTTATTTTTTTAATAAATTGATAATATTCTCAAATATATATTGTAGTGTATAAATTTTTTAAAAAAAAAATAAAAAAAAAAAGGAAATATTATAAAATTAAAAAGCAATTTTTTATTTATTTAGAGCATTAATGTTTTAGAATTATAAATATAAACATGTTCTTATTCATTTTAAATAATTAAATATTATTTAATATTTCCAAAAATATTCAAATGATATATATTATGCTTATCTATTAATTTATAAAATTTATATATTATATTGATTTTTCTTTATATTAAAAAAAAAAAAAAACTATTTATATTTTAATTATTTTTAAAAAAGTAATAATATAATTTAAAATAAAATTTTTTAAAGTATTTCAAATATGTACGATCCAAATACATCATAAACAGAAAAAACAAAACAAGAAGAATTCTTAAAATCTAAAATATAAGAAGCCTTTAATTTATTTGTAAAAGAAAAAAAAGGAATTGTAGATAAAAGGTATATAAGAACAAAAATAAAATAAAATGGGAAATATTTGTTAAATAAAAAAACACCATAATTTGCAAAAAATATAAATATTTCTTAACATTAAAATTCATTTTTTTATAGAGAAATTCCTTATATTATGAGATATTTAGGATAGTTTCCTTCTGAAGCTTAAGTAAGAGATGCCATATTACCTGAAGTAAAACATTTTATTTAATACATTATAAAGTAATTAAATTTAATTAGATTGAGGATGATGAACCTAGTGAATTTATTAAATATAGTAAATTTGAAACATATATGTTGAAAGGTTATTATTTTGAAACAAAATTTTTTAAAATTTATTAAAAAATAAAATAAAATTATGATAGTATTGAAAAGTAGGGAATATGAACCTGATGAACCTGAAGCTTTATTAGCAGCCTTTAAAGTAAAAAAATATTTTTTAATTTAAATATATATATATATATATATATATATATATATATTTATAATAAAAAAGTTATTAGATTAAGAAGGGAAAGGATATATTGAAATTTAAACAATGGAAACTTTATTAAAGGAATAAGGGTTATTTTATTTTTAAATTTATAATAAATTAATATTTTATTTTAAATCTAGTATAAATTTCAGAACCAATGAAGTAGAATCATTTATTAAATTTGCAACTAATAAAGATCCTAAGTATATATATATATATATATATATATATATATATATATATTTTAATTCTATATATTTTTAGTGCTACTGTAATATATTACGAAGATTATATTCTTAGACTATAAGCCTTTGTTGATAAACACATTGAAGGTATAATGAAAGGTTACGCTTATTTTTAAGAATCTAAATGATTTATAATTAAATTTAAAAATAAGCAAATATTATGAATAATTTATATATAAAAATAATAATAAATGTATCTTTTTTTAAATTTCATTATATATATATATATTTTTAAAAATATACTTTTAATATATTTATTTATGTATTATAATCTTTAAGAAAAAATTATTAAATATGTAAATAAAAATAAACACTTCTTCTTATATACAAATTTTTAATTTTTTATTTTTATTTTTAATATTTTTATAATATCACTTCTTTATTTTTTTTAAGCATTTGAATAAATTATCATAAAAATGGTCATATCAAGTATATAATACTTATAATATTTAATAATTAATATAAATCGCAATATTTATTAATTTAAAATTAAATGCTATGGTATAATATCTTATTTATAAGAATAATAATATTTTTGTATTATATTATTTATTTTATACTAAATTTTAACAATAAGATTAGATATATTTACCAATATTTTATAGGATAAATATTTATATTTATATTCTGAAAAAGAAAAAAATGTAATATAAAAGAAAAAAAATATTTTTATATTTTATATTTAAAGTTTTGAAATATTATATAAACTTAATAATTAAAGAAAAAAAAAAAAAAAAAAATTAAGTTTATATTTTTAGTAATAATTTTTACGAAAATATATAAAATAAATAAATTAATAATTTTTTTTAGCTTAAAAAAAAAATGAAAAGTTAATTTTATTTTAATGAAATATTATAATTAATAATCAAAAAAATAAATGAAGACATAAAAAACTTTTAAATGTAAAAAAATAAAATTTAAAAAATAAAAAAAATATAAAAAAATGTTTTTATATTTAGTCAAAATTTCTAAAACAAACAAATATTTAAACAAAGGGCACCCTAATACATAAAAAGATTCATGAAAGTTTATCTTATATAATTAATTTTATAGTAAACATAATTAGATTTTAAGAAAGTAATAATTAGATATTATTCATAAATGTAAAAAAAAAAAAAAA